GTTCATCTCCCTGCTGCTGACCCTCAGGAGAAAGCATGCTCCCACCATCTCCCACCAGCTAGCCATGGGGTGGAGGGCTGGTTCGTAGGGCTGATGCTGAAGCACCACGAGAGGACAGGGTCCCATCCAGCGGTGCATGGGACCCCCAGCGCACCTGGGTCTCTTTGCCTGTGCTGTGCTGTGATTAAGGCTGCAGAAGAGGGAGCCGGAGTGCTCACGCTTGCCAGGTTTGCCAGGAACCAACCCTAAACCCTTCCTCACCTTCAGGAGCTCCTTGTCCGCAAATGCCATGATGCCTTCAAAGATAATCACATTGGCACCATACAGGGTTTTCTGTGGAGTCAAAATCGATGTGGTTAGGCAGAGAACATGTGTTCAGAGATGTCGTGGAGCAAAGGGTGACTGCATGAGTCTGCTGCAAAAGGCGGGGGCTGGAGGGGTCCAAATGGCACCCCCCCTCCTGCCTTGGCAGTCCCCCCTCCTTGTCCCACCCCCCTCAGTGTCCCGTACCCATTCCTTCTTCCGGCTGTGGGTGGTGAAATCATAGATGGGGATCTTCACACTCTTGCCTTGCTTCAGCTTCTTCAGGGTGGCGATGATGAGGTCAAAGTCAAAGGCATCGGGGTGGTCGAAGTTGAAGTCATTGCTGGCTGCCTGCTCCTGCTGCTGCTTGGTCAACACCTGCCCACAAAGAAGGGGTTAGTGCACGTGGCCATCCCCACCAGCAGCCTTCCCTCCCCACCACCGTGCCCAGCAACCTCTCCTCCTGCCCCAAGAGCCATCTGAAGGGGCCAGGGGAAACCATGAGGCCGTCACTTAATCCACATTGCGTCTCCGCATCAGGGGGTTATGCCAAGGGCCATGGCAGGGCATGAGCCTGGCCAGGACAACACACAGCCTCACCTTGTAGAAGGAGTCCATGGACAGCAGAACCACCCAAGGGACATCAAGAGCCTCGATGATCATGGTGGCCACTGTGGTCTTCCCAGAGGCGCTGCCTCCGCCCAGGCCTGCCAGGGAAAAGGGGGTGAAGCCACCAACCCCACAATCCGCCTTTCCAACCACAGGGTAGAGCCCAGGTCCCATCCAGTTGCACTAAGTTGGAGGAACCTCCAAAAAGGGAGATCGATAGGCATTGCAAGAGAGAGAGATTATCCTTGAAAATGTCAAATGGTATGCACTACAACTGCCAGCAGTGTGCACAGAAAAAGCTGGGAAACCCTTCATCAGATGGTTGTGTAACAAGGGGAGAGCTGGCACGAGAACCAGCCTAGACTAAATCCCTGGAACTCGTGACAGCCCAGGCAACAAGAGTTGAAGGAACAACAAGCAAATATTGTGGTCTGCCCAGTGCCTGCTATAATCCATCACACCCATCTGCAGGCTCTCAGCTTCTGCCCAATCCTACAGCTCACTCAGTCAACGCTGGACTAACCACGGGGACTCTCACTGCTGAGCAACTCACAGTCTGGAGTCTGGGGCCAGCCTCAAGTTTCCGAGGAGGCTGTGGGGCAGGAATCCCTCCAAGATGATCTGGAGAGCCACCGGGCAGGCAGCACCAATGCTGCCCATGCTAGCCTGCACCGGTGAAGCGTAGAAGTGGGACAGAGCCCGGACACGCGCTGTCTCTGCCTACCTATCACGAAGGCCTCTTTGGACTGCGTCCCGTGCTCATTGTACCACGGGGGCCGGCCAGCTGTGTAGATGGTCCTCTTGCTGGTCCGCAGCAGGGGTGGCTCAGACTTGCACTGGCTCGTGGTCCGCTTTCGGGGTGGCTTGGTGGAGCCCACCGCAGGGTACAGCCGGTCTAAGGATTCGGCACTGCTGTTGCTAGGGATGGGGAGAGGAAGGAGCTCGGTTACGGATGGTGGGGAAGGGACCGTGTTCCCAGTGCGTGGGAGTGGGGTCTCCGGCGGGATCCCACGCTGTACGGGTACGGGATGCGGCGAGCAGCATCACCAGCCCTGGAGCCTCTGTGACCCCAGGCCGTGGCCAATGTCGAGAAATTCTCACACAGGACCGACTTTAACCCGGCAAAGGTGCAACACAAGCATCACTTCCTACTGCCCCACTGCGTGGGGAACGTCTGCGTTAAACACTCCAGCGAGCTCTCGTTAGCACTGAGGGGTGTTACTCCAGAGGGCAATGACCTGTCCTGACATGCCAAGGGACCCTTCTGAGGGATGGAAGCCAAACACACGGGCTACAGCTCAACCGTCCTCGTCCCTCCACGCGTAATCCCTTTCTCTCCCCACTCTGAGCGCTCCACTCCCACCCAAACCTCTAGTTCTCCCACCCTTTAGGCCTGGAAGCCCTGGGGACAAGCCTGCAGGCTGGCCGGAGGGCTGCCAAGCCATTGCATCCGCTTTGCCGTGCGGGCTGAGCGAGCCCCAAGCACGGCTGGAGTCCCGGAGCTGCTCAATGCCTCTCTCTTCTCTCCTCTCCTGACATGGCCCCGGGGAGAGAGAGGAAAAAACCATCCTCCGGAGCCCTTTTGAGCTTGGCAGCAGGACAGCAGCGGCTGGGAGGTGATAGGTGGCCTCTGGCCAGGAGATAAGCTGCAGCCGTGCTGCCTGGCCAGCACGGGGATGGGGAGGATTATTTATATCAGCTCCCACTCCTCCCTGCTCGCTGTTTCGCTGCCTCGGGAGGGATGTCTCCTCCCTGTGAGAAGGTGCAAAGGGCTCTCCCTCCCTCCTCACGCTTTCTCCTTTCCCCAGCCATGACCAGGCTGGAAACGAAACCTCTGCAAGGTCAGAGAGCCCCCGGCACTGAACGCTCCAATCCCGGCACCGTTTGGTACAGCCCGGCCGAGCTGGGGGGCTTTGCTGCCTCTGTTATTTTTTGCACTGAAAGGGCTTAAACTGCAGGGCTTTACAGATTTCGGGTTGATTTTAAGCTGGTTTGGTATGAAGATTAATTCCCTTCCCTCTCCCAGCCCTTTTTAGAACAATTTTAGATAAAGATCAAAATTTGAGACCGGCCATCTGTGTGTCAAGCGATCTGGCTAACCCCCTGACCGCAGCAGGATCCCCCCAGCACACCATCCCTACCTCCTGCACCGGCACATGCCTGTGGAGCGGCCAAGGAGACAGCGATTTCCCTGGCTTTGCTGAACCCCTGCTAGCAAAAGGCAGGCTGCAGCTCCTGCCCCTGCGCCAGGACATCTCACACCGATGCCAACCCTACAAGTGTGCACCTACAGAGTCCCTCCAGAAGAGCCTCAAGCCACCAACACCCCATCCCTTGTATGAGCCCATCGGCGCGCACGGCCAGCATCAAGCACTGCCGGACTCCGGCTCACCCAGGAGCCATAAAAACCCCAACCATCCCATTTAAAAAGCAACGTCAGGAGGTGAGACCTGCCGGGAAAGCCTTCTGGGGTTTCTTTCCACGCAAAGATGGTTCCTTCCATCAGAGAGGCAGGAGAAACAAACCCAGACGGGATATTTCGGTCTCCTCTCCCAGCAGTGATGTTGCAGCAGCGATTAGCCACCGTGCACTATTCCCAGAGCGGGGCTGACATCAGCCAACGACGCCGGTGCATAAACAAAGTCATTTTGGCTTGATAAAAGCAGAGATGACAAAACCACAGCTGTTTACCAGAAAATAAAACGGTTCCTTTCATCTGCATCCCAGCCCCTCTCCCAGGACTGCGGTTACTTGAGAGCTGTGCCACCGGCGCTGCCGCCAAGGTTTTCCTTGGGGGATGCACACCGGTCTCTGTGCAACTGGTGAGCATTTTGGGATGCTCTCCTCTTTGGTGTAACGCAGCACCGAGCTCCCTGTGCCAACCTCAGCCTGCAGACGCTGACATCACGATCTACATGCTGCGATGCTGACCGAGGCCATGATGTCTGAAGTGACTCCAAGTTGGGCAAAATTCTGGTTTTCGGAGCCTGAGCGAGAGGCTGACCTCTGCAAGGTCTGCTACCGGCACCCTTGACTGGCGTCAACATAACCCAGCTCCGGGCAGGGACGAGGAGGTTTGCACCCAACGGCTCTGGTTCTGCCCAGAATTACAGGCTGCGGTCACAGGGGACATCCCGCTTCTCCGTGTGTCACCCCTCCGCTGCCCGGGGTGCCCGCAGCACACTGAGGGTGCTGGCACAGAGGGGACCCACCCAGCAGCTCCGCGCCGGGGCATCACCACAGGACGAAGAGACAGGACGGCGCAGGGACGGCCCTCGGGGAGAAGCAGATCCGTCCCCCCCTGCACGCTCGGGGCTGCTCTTGGATGCAGCATTTTAATCCTGTTCCAAGAGTTGGCCTGCTTTGCCTCCTCTCATCCAAGTACCTCTGGACTTTCACCTAAAGTCTCTATCTATAGATATCTATAGATACAGAATTCTCTCTCTGTATCTATACAAGCGGTAGATATTCTACACGTCTTAAATCAATGTTTCCCATGATTTATCTCGGATAAGCACAGCCATGGGGAGGGCTGTGGGACTCGTCTGGAGTTCTGCAAAGGTCATGCATTTTCTCCTAATGTTACACTTCAAGTTTTGTAGATGTTTTCCGCTGCCTTTGCCAGGAAGGGACTCTCCTCTCCTCCCGAGGAAGGGCTGATCCCAGCCATCTCCCAGCTACCTCGCTTGGCTGTTTCTTCCCATCACTTTTTAAACATTCCCCACAGCAGCGACAAAGCCCACGCAATGTCCCTACGTACGAGGTAAAGCACCCGGAGGAAGGGGACTCTCTATTTATAGCTGAAGTTAATGCCATTGCTCTAACCGAAGGACAGTCCGTGTCCCATGCAGACCCTCCCCTGCCTTCCCGAGCAGAGCGTACCCCCTGGGTTTTGGTGACCTGATGCGGCAACAAGGCAAATATGAAACATCGCGCTGGGCTTGGTAACCCCCCTCCTGCAAAGCCTTCCTGGAGGACTCGGCTGCCACCAGCTCTCCACGACTGCCCCCAGCTTTTGGGGACACTTTGCCTTCCCTGTAGCCGGTGCATCCTCGCTGGAGTCTCCCTCTGCCAGGAGGAAGCCTGACCCCGCGGGAATGATCGGCAGTGGCGTCTGCTCCCCGAAAGGGCTCTCCAGCCCTGCAGACGTGCTGGCACAAATCAAGGAAGTGGTTTGCTCCCACTTATCCCAAGCAGGGATTTACTGGGGTGAGAGGGGCAGCCCTCTCCCTTCCCCACCGCCGCTCCCATCCCCATCCCTGTGCCCTCCGTGCCAAGGCTCTCTGCATCCCGCTGCCCCGCAAGACCCCCAACCATCCCGGATCCGTGCTGGGCTGGGAGGGCAAAGGCAGCAGGTCCCAACAGTCCCCGCAGCCAGCAAGGAAAAATGCCAAAGCCCCAAACCTGAACCTGCAAGCAAACAGGAGAGCTCGTCCTTGGCCCCGCACCCCGTGAACAACACACCGACCAGCGCCCAGACCTCCAAATCCACCCGCCAAGGTCCCTGCAGCCTGCTGTACGGCGCCGGTCTGGCTTCATCCCGCATCCCGTGGGAAGCTGATCTTTCCCCCAGCTGCTGCCGGTGCTTTCGCAGCCCTCAGCTGGGCAGGAGCTGGGGACCAGGACCGTGGGACGGGAACCGGGGCCACCAAGGGTTCGCTCCAGCAAGCAAGGACTGAAAGCAAACAGGTGAAAAAAGTAAAAACCCACCCGAAACCCAAGCA